ATAGTATAAAACAGCATTTCTAAAAATGTTTATGTTTATTAACATAAAAATTTTCCTCAAATTTTAATTTGAATATTGTCCATATTTATTCAAACACAGGGCAATTTCTGTCTGCCCACCTACCCCAGTCAGGCATGCAGCTCTTCTGATCATTACAATAAGCTCTTCTAGTGAAGAAAATGGTACATCTACATGGTGAGTTGGGGATACAGCTGCGTGCCATAAAAATCTCTTTCCCAAGCTGCCCAGATGCAGCAAGTTCTGACCCCAAAGTTACTGCGCTTGATTGAGATAATATAAAAAGTCATGCAGCAAGCTAATGCCACCTAGTGAAACTACAACACTTAGTTGCGTGAAACTACATCACTCACTGGGTCCAGCTGGCATCATTTATAGGCAGAAAAAGCACTACTCTGGTTAACAAGACTATATACATGTACATACAATTTACATATACATACATGCACATATATATATATGTACACATAAATGTGTGTGTGTGTGTATGTACACACACATATAAGTCTAAGTGTACATTAGAGTGTGGTAGATTCAGGGGCAGATTTCATTAGAAATTTCTAAATATACGATTTTGGACCAAAATCAGATGTACAGTCATTATTCAATGATGTCCTTATTCACATAAATATAACAGCCATCCTGTTAAGAATAAATGTTGCTACAGAATCTAGTTGCTACAGAACCATACATAGTACCTTGCACTTGTTCATTAGGGATAGTAGCCAAGTTTCCTCCTAAATTCATGCAAGCTGTTCGCGCAGCATGCCAAGTGACACGTTCATCTTCTGTAGATCCAAATATTTTGTAACACTGAAAGAAGAACAAATTCTCCAAATATTATCTTTACTCCAATACCTCTTACAGATCAAAAGGCATTGCTCTACAGAAATCAGGACGGAGAAAGCACAGTAAAACAACACATTCATCTGAAAAAAACCACACCCAAAAGGATTTTTTGTGCTCGTGCATTTTCTATGTAAAATTAAAGCTCTCAAGAAAATGTTTTCCTCAGCAAGACGCATGCTAGCTTTGATGTGAAATCTCTAAAAAATAAGCAAAATCGGAATTTGTGTAGACAGCCAACTAATATTGGTAAGTTACACATTACTGATAGTAGTTTGCTGATTTTTTTATTTGACTCTACAACGCATACTACATTTTTTGAAGTCAAGGAAGACAAAATATATTCATTGCTGGAAGAACATTATGATTCAGTTAAAATATATCACAATCAATACACCAATACTTTGCAAATTCCATATAATCCCTTAGGAAACGCTTATCAAAAGATTTGAAGAGATGACTAGAGAATGACTTCCACAAACTGCAGCTGGATAGGCTCATATGCCACTTCATTAGAAGTGTAAAAACAAACACTTTTCCTGCAAAATAGTGGATGCGCAAACAAATAAAAGTGATAAAAGTGCGCAGATCTCAACCAGCCCTCTGGAAAGGAAAAATTATTCTAATAAGAAATAATAACGTAAATTAATTCCTTTGCTTTCTACCTAATACTTTACCAAGCATTCAACATGCTATGAATTTGTTACGGTACCTTATTCTGAAAGGAAAGCCAAGTTGGATGACATCCTCTTGGAGCTGAAAATGTTGTTGGAGGAACAGTTGAATTAATGGAACTGTTGTGCCTTTCACATATGTAGGGATTTGGATAACCACAGTTTATATCATTCCAAAATCCTGAATGCAAGACAAATGGGGAACTGTATGACACTATATCCAATGCTGGTTAGATAGAAATCAATTTCAGTTATCGTTACACAGTGATCAAATGAAGATCAAATCCTCAGTGTCTGCTAGTTTATGGATCGTTTAATGTCAGCAGCTACGATAATTATGCCACTTTATATGCAGTGTAATTACAGAATATTAAGAGTAATATACTATTTAAATCAGGTATTAGAAAACTCATTTTTATAGTAGCACATTAGACCTATTTTAATAAAAAATATATAGCAGTTGTATAGCGATCACAAGCAAAGGCCTCTACCAGACCTTCTCCATGCTACATTTAACATAAACACAAGAATACAAAAATACAAAATCTAACATCATGTTCCACTTCCATAAGTTTGTAAAAGAATAAAAAAAAAGGTGAAAAGAGGTGCCTCTCAGAAAAAAAGTTGTGACTCAAACACACAGATGATAAAATTCAGAAACAAACATTAAAAACTCACCTAAATTCTTATACATGACTACACAGTTTTCATCGTTATTTGCAAAGTTGGGTTCATGTGGTGCCCATGCCAAATAATTCACTGGAGTCCCATCCATCCAGCTGAAGGGAAACAATTCAACAAAATCCATCTTTAACAAACAAATAGAATTGCTTCCATCTCACAAAAAGTCATTTTGCAAGATGTTTAATATCCCCATTCACAGGTTAAGTTATACAAGGCTTTTGGACCAGTTCTAATTCAGAGGTATCCACAATACAGGAGTTAACTGAGAAAATACCTTTTTCCTCTTTTTTTTTTTTTTTTTTAAACTTTGATATTAATGGAATGAACGCATTACTCCATAAAACTGAGACATACGCAATATTTCCTACTGTAGATACAAGGAAACTAGTAATTTACCTGATAGTGTGATTATTGCCAGGAAATAAAAATCTCTGGTAACTACCCTTCCAAGGATGGGAAAAATAAAGAATATAGCATCCAGGTAATCATGAATATTGGTGTGGAGTATCAGGTACTTAGCTCATTGCGCTACTTGCTCTCTTTGCAAAGGCACAAGATAGGTGTTGGAGTTATGTTTACTCTGGATTTATGCAACATGCTGACGCTCTTGCAGTTGATAGGACAATCTTCAAAATAACCTTTCAGGCCAACATGAAAGCCAGACACCATTTCAACATGAGAGAACCCAGATGCTCATCATTTCCCTCAAGTCACATATTCCTTGTGGCTATTACAGAGATAAGAGATTGGAGTCATAATACTGGCAAAATGCTTCATCCCCCATGCAGAGGGAAAATTGTGACGGCATGACAAACCACCTAGAAGGCAATTGCTCTGACAACATGCGTCTGACAATGTGCTCTGACAATGTGTGACATAACGTAAAATCTGAACATTGAAAAAGCTGTATATCTATGTAGATTAAACTATAGAGAACAAAAGCATAACCAAGCAATAAGCCATCAAACATTTATTAGGAGACATATTCCTACTGCACTGCAAGTGATAGAGGGGCCTAGGTTCACCCTATATGACTTCAGATAGATAGGCAAGGCACTTCACCTAAAAGCATAGTCAGGGTCTGTAGTCAGCAGGGTCCCTACAAATACAATGGAACAGGAGAGACATCTCTTCTTTGGAAGGTGATTTGGCCCACCTAATATCTTTACCATCCTCTGAAAGGGCATGTTTTTCACCATGGACTTAAAGAACCAGGAATTACTAGGTATCTATCCAGGCACTTCAGGACCCCAAAAGAAGAGACATGAAGCCATGCCTAAATAAACATCACATGCAAAAATCAATTTATGCTCCTGCATGCTGACATTCAGAAAAGCTCACAGAAAACCTGCTTATCTTCACTGAGCATCTTAAGTTATAAAATGGTAGCAGTTGTCTTTGCTCTACAAAAAGAAAATAAGAGTTTTGTTGCTAACTTGCAGTGCATTTTTCTCTTTAAATACAGTCTGTTCCCAACAGATCTTAAGGAGGGAAAAGAAGAATGTTTTTATCTACCAGACATCTTACATATTTTGAGTTGGGGCATCTATTTGTATTTTAAATATAAATCAGAGAATAAAAGAAATTATACCTTTTTTTTTTTTTTTTAATAAAAGTTCAAATACATTATCTCCACTGTATTGTTTCTGTCAGCTTTGGGTGAAAACTATTAATGAAACATGCAGTATCCCTCTTGGAACATCTAGACATGGAGCTAAATTAACACAGCATTAAACCACTTGAAAAGATAACCGTGTTTAAATCAAGATTCAAACCTGGCTATGTCCTGTGAAACTCCAGGTCCTTTCAAGATAACTTATTCTGTGCTACAGGCTACAAAATCTTGAAACTGTAAAGAACTTTCCAAATCTAAGAGAGCTGATGTGAACTTCTGAAAAGTTAAAAATACAAAGCTAATGATTTAATATTGCCAAAGAGTAAGTCCAGTTTTAAGGTTTATCGATCTACTCTAGCTTCCAGTGGTTTCAATGAGGAATGCCATTTACTTTAAAAGGAGTTGGTCTTCTATGATTGAAGAATTTCGTCCAACATCAACAGAGAATACTTTTTTTTAACTCCTTATATTAGCTATACTTTGTTGGAATATGAACAAGGAAGACAACAGCTGAGGGCAAAATTGAAAGCTTTTTTCCTGCTATAATAAAATAGAGAATAACAGTATTATTAGCGGGGTGAGAATGCCTAGCAATAGATGGGATTCAAAAAAAATGGATTAAATGTTAGGATAAAGTGTAGTATCTTTACTAAGGAACACATTTTTACAACCTTACCTTCATAATCAAAAATATCAAGCATGAAATTTTAGTCTCAGGGAAGTTGGAGGAAAAGTATTTTCATCTGCTTTGAGATGCCACAATTTCACTCAAGTACTTCATTGTGTTTGCTCTGCTCAGTGGATTTGTTCTTGATTTTAAAGCACCACGTGAGCTTGATGGCTCTAGGTGACCTACCTTGTCCGTTGATCAATACTCAGTCGTAAACCGATGAAATACGAATCCTCCTTCCCATTTTTCAAGATCTAGAATGTAAAAATTAAAATTGTACACATTTCCTCTGTTTATCACAGAAATGTATTCTGAAAATAATGAATAACCTACTGCTGAGTCACCTAAGATGTGAAATGTTATATTCTCTAGCTATAAAGCTAAATTTTAAAGAAGTCACTGCAATCAGCACCTCTTGCACAGTTTCTGCAGCTGACATCACCAGTGAAATGTCTTGCAAGGGCAAAGCCCTCCTACAATTTGGGTGCCAATTAATGCAAGACTTTCACGTTATCTCACTGCCACTCTTCAGTCAGCTCAGGGAAAGTCATATCTGACCTTTAAACACACTCTTGATTTAAAAGAAACCGACCTTCAAGAGAGTATGAGCAGGGAACTAGCTCCAGTCACCTAGGAAACAATCCTTTAAAAGCTCTTTCTCATGGCATAATCCATGCCTTAAGTTCTTCTTGCCCCATATTATATGCCATAGGGAGAAGGAGGCACAGCTGTGAACTTGGAAACTATCAGATCAAAAAAAGGCTGCTAGGTAGATCACATCTCAGACCACACTGACAAGATCAAAAGCCAATGTCTGAGTGTTGCACATAAACCAATCCACATGGATTTGATCCACATCTTAGGATACCTTGAGTTTATCTGTTGACACCGTGGCACTTTAACTTGCAGTTAACTCAGCCTACTTTACAGAATCAGAGTACGTCATTTTGCTAAAGTGAAGCCAGAGATAATTAAAATTATGCACTAGGTTTATGTTAACTGCATTAGCAGTTGCATACAGATGTAATGCTGTGTGACTGTTGGGTTGAGTAAGTTAGAAGCAGATAATTTTTTTTTTTTTAATTCTTGTTACTATATGTTTTAATGCTTGTTACTATACAAAATACAGAACCAAAACTGTCCCTGTCCCAGCTATGAAAAGATCCAAAAAAAGACTTTATTTGACCTTCATATCAACCTGTCTTACTGCTACTGCCATTTCACTAACTTCACTGTCATAAAACTGGTAGGGAGAACACGAGGGTGAAAACGACTTGTGCCCATGCTCACTTATTCAGATGATTTATTCCATTAAAGATTTTTCTTACATATCGCCAGAGGAATTTTCTTTCACTTTCACTCTCAATGACGGCAAGGTCTCCAAAGTTCTTCTTGCAGAACTCCCGACCTTCTTCCATAGGAACACTTTCTGTGCTGAAATAATAATGTTTGTCCTCATGTATAATCCATCCATCCTCACTAGTCTTATACTCTGCAAGATAAAGGGTAAGCTAAATATATTGTTCCTGAAGTATAAAATATTCTCATTAGTAGAATTTAAAAGAGCATTTAAGTGCACAAACACAAATACCAATAGTAAATACACTTACTGGGCGCAGGAGATTCTGTTGGTTCAGGTTTTACACTTGCCCCTGTAAGAAAAAATATTTATTATGATCCAACAATAAATTTCTGCAACACTCTTCAATTTTAAATATGTATTCTTGTTCCCTTAGGTCTAAAAACAAGCTATTCCTAATGCACAAGGGATTATTAAATACCTTGAAATTTGACTGAATTGAGTAATTACATTTGGTATTCGCTGGATGCAGCAAATTTTACGTCCCAAAGCATTAACTCTATTAAGCTAGTCCCTGTGTCTCCCTCCTCCTCCTTTCCCCAGGTCATTTATACATGAATTCTGGCTTAAACCTGGGTTATCTTCCATGCTGCCCTAGCTCCTACGGAGTGAGGTTCTTTCCATCTTTCTCTGGTTTTGAGAAGAACTACTATCCTGGATCTTAAAAATTTCCAGGGAGATTTTTATCTAGGGAACAGATATGCTCCTGAGAAATTAACTCATTCTTTCTGACAAAAAGACATCATGCTAAAGAACTCCCCTGTTTGTTTTAGCTACAGCATCATGGAGATCCTTTGTCACTAGTATCTCAGGAAAATATGCCCTAAAGATCTCCCTGGAGATCTTTATAGGGTTACCAGTTTGTTTTGTGCTAAAAAATAATCTCACAGGTATTGCCAGAGAAAAAATTTTCTGAGTGCCTGAAAAATCCTTTTATCAATATAAAGCAGATGCAGTAGTTTGTTGTCAATAGGCTGATGCAGCATCTTCATTTTGTTTCCCACTAACCCAGTAAGTGGCTATGGTACAATACTTAACAGAGCACTTTCCAAAATATTCAAAATTAGTTAGATATGCTGCTTGTGGAACTCAATTTCAAATTAGAAATTCTGGCTTGTCGTCTTCAGAAAATAAAAAGAAAATATTGCAAGAAACCAACAAATGAATACAAAACCCAGTCAAAGCAACGTAACATATCCCAAAATTAGGCTTCATCTTGCAATTATAGGTTCAACCAGCTGACCAAACAGTAGTATGCAAGCCAAGTAAAGGAGGGAGGAAAGAAAAGTTCTGACACTTAAAGAGCCCAATGTGTGAACTGTTTTTTGCAAACTCTTTGCTAAAAGTTTGACACTTGACTCAGAAAAATTTCTTCCAAAATAGAATTTGCTGGAAAAGGCACAAATTTCTCTAAATGAAAAGGCAGAACTGAATGTGAATATTCAAACTACCATTTCCTGTTTTTCAAGAATCACGTTTCCTCTTCTGAAATCATAGAGAAAGATCCGTGAGAAGTCCCAGCAGGGCACCTTTGGCTCTGTATCTTTGAATATATCAAAAGCAGGTAAATCCTTACACCATTTTGACATTTCGCTTTCCAAAGGGTACCATTCTGATGAACAGCTTTTGAAAATGTTTGTGCTCATAGCTAAGAAAAAAAAAAAATCAAATGCAATTCCGTTCTTATTCGATACAGTTGGAAGCAATACTACCTTTTTTTATCTGACAAATCCATCCATACAGATAATCACAATGTCTGTCATTCCATAACATGCTGGAGTCGCCACTAATCTCTGCACAAAGTTCAATTCCTTGATAATTATTGGGCTCTCCAAAGCCCCAGTTTTCATACCTCACCTATGACAGAAAAAGTTTTGTGATGATTCCATTATATAGAAAAATAATAATGGAGAGAGGGAGCAGACAGCATCAAACCACAGACCCACAGTCTACCTCTATCATCAGTTTAAAAACTGAGATGAGAGGAAACCAGAACCTCCCTCTGCACATGCTGATATTTCAAATTTGTTTTCAGATTGCAATAGACCACAATTTATACCACAGTTATTTCCAATCACAATTGGCAGAATATTAACATTTCTTACAGAACCTAAATTCTGTAAAATTCATCTGATGACAATAACGATGTATGCTATATGTTCATGCTCAATTAAATAAACACTCTATATTAGCAAAATATTAGGATATTATTGAGACACAATAAAAAGTTGGCATTTCTCCTCATAAAAATATCACTGCAATCTTAATTTTTCTGTACGAATTGCAAATTCAGTTTAAATCCATTTTTCATATGGTAAACTGTTCCGTCAAATAAATTTTGACTGACTTTACAGGAAAATATATCCACATCTCCAACTCCACTTTTGTTTCTACATTTTTACATCTTAGTCTGAAGTACAGTCAAGTCACACTGGCATAAAACAATTGCCTTCATATCCATGGAACGCAGGCTATTTCATATTAAGATCTAATTAGCAAAGAAGATAAATACCAGAGACAGACTATTTTCCTCTAAGAAATTTGTATTTTATAAGAACAGCCAAGCAAAAAAATGACACGGAAAGATCTTTTTCCTCTTACTCAGCATGAATTTAATTTTCTTGTTGATTTAATGCACACTTCATAATTAAAAATCAGTATGTTTTAGCCAAAAATTAAGCCATGAGATTGTTATTCATAAGCTTTGCTAAAGAAAGCCTGACACAACAGAGTGTTATCATTAAGCATAAAAAAAAAACAAACATATATACCACACACACTTAAGAAATACAAGGAATGCAAATAACAGCAGCGAAAATTAAACCACTCACTGGAGATCCATCACTCCAAACAAAGCCATCATCAGGATTCAAGTAATATAAACCCATCCAGAAATGCTGATGGTAGTACCCATTGTTCCTAAACAAAAATAATAAATATTCCATTTATAGGCAGTTAAAGCATAAAAACAAAGCTAAGAAGGACATTAAAATATTTTTATAACCTGTCAATTCACAACAGTGGATAAAATTCTGTAAAGATAATCCTTAAGGTTATTAGAAAGAACTGCAAATACTGAGGACATTTTGCAAGCTAATGAAAACATAATTATTTCTAGCTGTCAACAGTATTCATTAACTAAGATGGATTGAAATATTGACCAACATTTTTTAGAGAAAAACGTCCAGATCCAATCCTACTCCTGGAAATCCAATCAGGTGGCTCAGTACTTTTGTTCAACGGTCCAGTAGTTATTGTTTCTCCATTTGTCAACTCTCCATTTTCTCTTTAAAGGCATTTACAGTTTCCAAACTCTTTATTAAAGTTATTTGCTGCAGTTGAATTGCATTCAAAAAAAATCATATCTTAAACTAGTTCTTGTCTGAGAGCAGACAGGCTTTACTAATTCATCAGAATTTAGTGATATGTTAATATGCGGTAATTCAGCATCTGAGACTTCCTTATGATAGGCATGTATCTGGGATTCTAGTTTGGCTGAAGCATTTTGCACAGCTTCCATGTTTCAGTCTGGCTTCCTAGTTAGACAGATATGAAATTGTTCTTTGCCTCCGCTCTACTCAGTTCATGTTGCACTTGTTGCCTTTTTAAGAGCACTTGATCACATTCAGAAATTTTTCACTTACTTTTTACAGTTCAGGGACCTACTAACCTTATTCACATTCCCTGCACAGAACAATTGAATCTGGAGGTACTTCTGCTCTCTGACTAGTTCATAAAAGTGAGGAATAAACAATACATTGACTAGATTTACATCAAGACTGTTACCCTATTTGTATATTTGTTAAGCCAAATGACATCTGTGGCAGTTTTATAATAGCCTCAAAACCACGGTAAAACTTTTTACGTAAGATCATAAATATAGCCTCAACAAGTTATTGCGTCAATCTCTCTCTAGCATCAGCTTCTTGCATAATTGCCACTAGTCATATTTCTGTTATCTCCTCACCTCTGCTTTCTTGCTATGTGTTTGATACAGATGCTGATAATGAATCCAGACCAGCTTGGGTAAAAGTAAAGAGACACAACTGAAATCAAACATTTCAGAAAGATCAAAACGCTAATTAAAGTGAATGGATGACCATGCTATAGATACTCACGCAATAGAACGCCATATCACATACTGTTCTTCTTTACCATTAATGGAGGCCAGATCTCCTCCTATAGCTCGACAAAACTCTTGAGATTCAAGCCATGTTTTCTTTTGCTCTCCTCTTGAAAAAGGCTAATAAGAATATGCTTTACAATCAGATATAACAGACCATAAAGATCACAAGATCAAGAAACACCAGCTATCCAAAAGCCATCCATTTAAATTTCGCTTATTCTATGGAGATTACAGAAACTTTGTACACAGACTTTGTAAGTGTTCACCTGTGTGAAACAGGTTTCATATGAGTGTATTTGAGCCAAGTTAGCAGAGTGTGCAAGTGTGCACACTCTGCAAGTGTGTCTGCACTCTTGTACTGCAAAACACATAGGAGAATGGCACTTTTAATCTTAAAAGAGCAAGGAAGGGAAATTAAGATCTGAAGATGAGAGTTTACGGAAATAAAAATGATGTCAGAAACAGGAGCATTTGAATAAGGGGGGACAAGACCTCTACATAATCCATAAAGAAGCTTATGAAACAGTAAGACACATTAGTATACAAATTTCTGTTGCATTTATGTGCATCAAACAAGCAGAGAGAACAGTTCTTAATTCAGAACTAAGCAGCATACTTACTTTGAAACAGAAACTAATACGACTGTTTGAGTCCCAGCCTTCTGGACACCTCGGAATAGGAGTTGTTGTAGGAATAGGCGGAGGAGTCACTCCCTCTGCCCATACTTTGCATATAAATTTTGCCTTTTCTTCACATTTTATTACATCCCATAATCCACCTGCAATTCCAGTTCTCATGGCCACACAGCCCGGCTTTCTTCCTGTTTGTAAACAGGAATGCACAAAAGCAACATTTCAGGGGTCACTGAGAACTTAGGTAACTCCATATTCTAACTTGATGGAAATTAAATCTTTGTCTGTACAGAGTCAAAAATGTTTCTAGCATATGAAAAAACAGTCCAAAAAAACAGTGGTTCATCCATATCTGAGACACTGAACTACACCTCATATCAAATCACCTCTAGTGGCTGACTCCAGCAACATCATGACCTGTGATCCAACAAACTCTCTAGAACTGAAGCTGTGGTTAGTGTTATTTTCTCAAATTTGTCTAAATTGACTAAGACTTTTTGCTGATGAGCTTGCTATATAGGGGCCTCGTGTTGGCTTCACGGTCTATATAACTTTACCATCCCACCTGATGCTTTCTAATCAGCATCTAAAGCATGCAAGTTAAAGACGATCAGAAGATCTCCTGAAAGGCAAATGCAACCTGCCAGAATACTGAAACTGGGAGCATCCCCCTTCTGATGTGATTGTGTCAGAGATGGAAAGGCTTCCTACCCTGATGGATATGTTTTATTGAAACACAAAACATTAGAAAAGTTTTGATCAAGAAAACTTAGTAAGTAAGGAAATTACAATTCTTCCAGGAAAGATATTGACTAAAGAGGACTAACAAAAACTCCCTTGCCCTCTTGCACTTTCCTACAATCCCATTTTTCAGTCCAATAACTCTTAGGGGCTTCTCGGTGTGAATGAACACCCAGTGCCCTCTGGATCCCTCAGGCTGTCTTCTCCCTTTGCCTTCAAGACTTGGTATGGATATTCTATTCCAAAGATACTCCTGTTACTTCTGATCTACAGTTGTGTTGAAAGTTCCCCTGCTTGCCACCTCTCTTACTTTCTCACGTCTACCTTGCACTATGGACAGTCAGAGATGAACCTGTTCTGTTCCTCTCTGTCTTCCTTCCATGAAAGTGTAACTCCTGTGCAGCAACCAACCTTCCTCCTTTCTACTCCTGCAGTTTGAAAAAATTGACATTTGAAGTTTCTTCTGGGATCTTCTGAGAAAAATGGCTTGCACCTAGCAGAAAGAATCAAAACCACTGCAAAGCCCTTAAGTATTAAAACAAACCAAATAAATCTGACATTTAACAAAATTTATAGGCCTTAGGTAGACTGCTAGTAAGATTTTATATTTTCACTTTGCAAAATAATAATAATTGGAGTGAACATTTAGGACGCCCAAGATCATAACTTCAGCAATCGTTCATTCTGTTTTGGCCCTAGGGAGTGACTGTTGAGTCATCTGCAGGTGCTCACCTACCATACAGAGATACAGCTTTTCTATGTTACATTCTCCATAAATTGCTACCCACATCACATTCACCTCAGATCTGACCCTAATCACTCAGCAGCTATGTCAGCACTCCCTACTGGAGGCGGCCCTGGGATCTTCTTTAAGACTGGAGATGTTTCATGTATGCTTCATGCATACGCTTCAAAACATTCAGTGAGCAAACGTACTATAAGACATGGCTGCACAGGCAGGACTTGCAAGCAGGGCACAGTATGCCTGCAGAGATCGCTCTTCTAAAGCGGTACAGACACAGTCAGACTTCCCCAGAACAGAAGCAAAACAAACTTTTTTTCAGTTCAAAGTTTTTTCCAAGCTCATGTTAAAAACTCTCTTCAGCACCAAGCAGGAAGTTAGCAACAGCCCTTACAGCATGCTTGAGAGAGCAGCCAGGGACATTTGAGAACAATTAGTCATTATACCACCAAGCAGGAGCTACAGAATGAGTTAAAAACATGTAAGTAACGAGCAATGCGTTTTGGACAGTGCACTCAGTATACAGTGTAGAGTCATAGCTACCAGGCATTTCGGAATTCCAGTGTGTAAACAAGACAGATTCGCCATTAGTCCACTTGAAAGTTCCCTTTTCTTCTACATCTGAAAGTCCAATCCAAAAGAACTTTTCTGTTCTCAGCCCGACCAGGCTAGTCAGATAGGCTTGCTCATATCTGTTCAGAAGAACACAAGAGTTAAATAATACTGGAAAACTAAAAAAAAAAAAGTTGTATATGGTTTGTTACTTTCCCAGAATTACCTTTGTACCTTCTTGAAAGAGTAGCTTAGATGGATTTAATTGAACAAAGCCAACAACAAAACATTATCCAACAGTTATTTAGCAAACCTGAATTCAAGATTATTATGTCTTCTCTTCTGCTGTCCAATAAAGGAGGTGACATAATGGTGGACCAACATGAAGGTGGAAAAGGAAAGGGCAAAGAAAAAACCTGACATGACTTTAGTAGGATACCACCACATTTGCTGAGAGTTTCTAGTACCTTGTGTTCTTATGACTTCTTGTTATAGCCAAATACAAAACTGAATTCATGGCTGAATTCTGATGGATTTTCAGGTACAAGGCACTTGTCTTCGCTTGATTTATTTCTTATATAAAACTTTGAAAAAAGTAGCTCAATTCTAAGAGCAGATAGGTGAAACTGACACCCTTTTGCTCATCAGAGCTACTTTTTGGGTGGAATTCAGAGCGATATCTCTTTATTAAATAATCAAAATTGGATTCTCCATCCTTCATTCAAGCCAGCCCAGTCAAGAAACAGAAAATGGAAATCTATTTTCTTCTTCAATGTAACAGTCTAGATCAATATTGACTTCACAGTCATCACCTATTTTTGCTACAAACTGACTTCCTGGATTTGAATATATACACAAAAACTCTGAGCAGTTCAGCACCTACAGATAGCAGTCCTCTCATACCTACCTTCTTATTGATTTTGCTCTGGAACAGAACCTTTATTTTGATATTTAGATGATGTTAGACCCTCATGTGGTCCCCTCAGGCAAGCAGACTTTTACGTACCTGTCTTCAATAGTTGCTAAAAAAGCCTGATGCCTTTCACAGGTTTGATTTGCTTGAGAAAATGACACAAATGTATTTCCAATGAAGTAACAATAAAAACCATGTCTTTTCCAGCCCTGTCAAAATAAACATTAAGCAATCACTTACGCTGCAGCTTTTCTAAACTTCTTTAAAAAAAAAAAAAAGCAAAAAAAAAAACCTAAACTGATTTATAATTCTATCAGCTAACTGTAAGACAGAGACTCAATTAAACTGAAAGAGCCAGAAGGGAAAATAATTTAACTAGGTAACAAATAAAACATAACTGTATTTTGTATAACACTGAGATGATGACTGATTTTTCTACAGGGACCTCCACTTCAAACCCAATACCAGGCTTTGAATCTGTCTTTTCTCTATCTAATTATCTAACAGTAAGTTAGACTAAGCAAGTCCAACTATTTCATCTCCTGGATGGGAAAGCAAAGCAAAATATGGTCAGGGAAATTTGGACGTGGTTCTACAGAAAAGTACTGTAGGACTTGAAAAACTCTTAGAAGTGCAGAAGATATAAATACTATACATTCATTTACATGTTACTCTATGTACATTAAAGCTGTACAGTAATGAAAGAATACAGACTCTTAACAGTTTTAATACGGTCACTTTAGGTCCTTGGATTGCAGTGCTTATGACAGCCTTACGTCTTTACTGTGGTTCGAAGTCAGAGATGACCAAGAGATACTGCAGACATACGGCTGGTTACACAGAGTGCCAGATCTTGCCCCTTTATAAGTTCCACAGAGAGAAGAATGAGCTTGTTCAAACGGCCTACAAGAGGTAGTGACAACTACCTCTTCTACTATATACAGAGAGGGGGAAGGCAGTCAGGCTGAATTGCTTATTTGCCTCCTGAACCGAGATAACATTTGTGACAATAAAAATGGACTATTCCTATTGTAGACACTCAGAATGAATCTCCTGGCAAATAATAAAGCACTTTACTTGAGCTCTCTGAGAATCATCTCTATACACCAGAAAAATTGATAAACATACAGACTTTTTCATCTATGGGCTTAACATTATAAATAAAGTGGCATATATTACAAATATACAGGGGGGAACAAGACTTCTTCAAAACTTTGTTTTATGAAATGCTTTCTGGTATATAACGAATTTTTAATCAGCGCTTTCCACTTACAAAGGCTGATGTGGCTTTGCTGTGCACCTTCAGTGCTCAGTATAGGACTACACCTGGCACATAGGCACTGCCCAATAATGAGAGCGCTCTTGAGAAGCAAGTTTCAGCACAGCTTTTCAGGAATGGATTGCCAACTCAGACAAGTTGGTTAATTATTAACTAACATTAAGACTCTCTTCTAATGTTTTGTCAATCAAATGTCATTAACTCAGGAATATGCTTACAGAGGAAGTGTTTGCTGTAAGTAGCCACAATTCACATACATTTCCTTCTGAGGGTCTTAATTTCTCCCCCATGAGAGACGACTTTTTCTACCAGCATACACTTAGTCCTCTAGGCAAAGATAAAAGTGATCCTTGTAGTGTGGTTAGGGGTGTGGTTAGTGGGTAGGGGTGCTACCTTCTCCATCAATTCAATATTTGCAAGTCTCCCAGGTGCTCTTTTACAAATATGGGGAAAAAGTATCTACGCAAGCTTTCCCTGCAGCTGTATAAAGCAGACTTTGAAGGAAAGGCAGTGACTTAATGAAAGAAAAAAAACCTCAGTAAGATTCCCTATGACCTAAAAAATTGCAGGAGCTTTTCTAGAACGATTGAGCATTACGTTACTAGAAGGTGAGCATGACAAAATAAGCAATAGATATTTGGCAGTTCAGAAGGAGAATGATCAGTTCATCTCGCTTGGGCACTTGTAACAAATTCTTCGAAATAGGGAGAACTGCCAAAGGCCACAGCACAGCCTGCAGAACATTATGAAGACAAGGCGCCTCACTGCCATGACTAACACTGAAGAAAACGGTAGAGAGAGCAGAATAGCAATTGCTGACACAGGCAAATTCCTCAAGGCTTGATTGCAAAGCAAGGAAATTTGGCCTACTGTAAGGACTATAGTTTTGAGTTTCGGATTAGGTTCTGGAAAAAGAAAAGGAGCATCAAGAGCCAAATGACAGTCAGAATTTAGAACTATTCACATGTATCACATCTGTCATGGAAATGAGAAGGCCAGCTGTTCTGATAATGACAACACAGACCCATTTCTCCCTGTTCTTCCAGAGTCATCTAGGTGACATTTTCTTCTCTTAAGCATTCTTAGCAGCCTATTCAGTTCACACAACTTATTCTTAACTTACTCTCTGGCAGCCCATGTCAATAGTTTCCTCTTCTGTAGGAGCTTCTGACATGGGTTTCCTTTTACAGACGTAGCCAATTTTCTTTTCACAAGAATGGTCTGCCCAAAATCCATCCTGAACATAAGAACAGCACATCAGTCAAGTGGGACTTAGTTTTCCAAAAACGTGCTCTACATTTTAAAGCATTTAATGATTTTCTTCTGTTTTTAAAAGAAGCAAAACCTACATCTAACTTCATTACTTTCAACTTCATTCCAACCTCATTTTTTGTATTGTGGCCAATGCACCACTGATTTACACCTTCTCTGATTATTTACTCTGATGAAAAGTGAACCTGAGGAGGTGATCGCAACATTCCACCACCTTTACACAGGCTAATGATTTAATAACCGTGCAAGGTAAAATGGAGGAGTCATCTGTCTCCACAGAAACCCCGTTGGAACAGGAAACACAGCAGAAGAGTACATCACAACAAAAATAAGTTCAAAGAAAACCACATCTCAGATCACTAAATTCAATGAAAAACAGATGGACAAAAATCATAACGTAATGAACAGGCACATTATAAATACAAGTGCTTTTTAACGGCACGGTTACATGCCTTACTGTTACAATTCATTTCCAACTTCCTGTCAGGGCCCTAGGAGCACTAATAGGCTTTAATAGTCTTGAGCAGCCTTACTTGGGCCTCTTCCCACATCCCCCCTGCCCATGGGCTCAGAGGCTGAATTTAAGCTCAGGCCTGGGCTCCACCTCATGGAACTATCTGGCTCCAGCTCCATCACAGCCATTTCCGTACCTGGCTATGGACCTCATGGATCTGGACCCTGACTTGTGGACTATCTATCTTCCACAAAGTGACTACTTTGTCACTCAGCCCTGCTTCGTCACTGTAAGCCTCCTCGGCAATCATTGGACTGTGTCTGACCCTGGTTATCTTCACCGGGCCTGATCCTGACTCAGCTACTTGGCTTGACCTCAGACCTGACTCATCACAATAGACTTGCTTGAGGATCCAAACCCTGGGCTGTTCCCAGACTCCTTTGGGCCTGCTCTGTTCTCTTGCTGGGGGTGGTGGGACAGTCCCTGGCTGGCGACAACCCTGTCCTGCCAGCCGTGTTATCGTGCTTGGCTCACGGCCTTAGAGGAGGAAGACCTTCACTGCCCCCTCTCACTTCCTTTTTCATTATCCTGAAAGATTAATTATCTGCTGTAAAGATGAGCAGCAGAGAGACAAGCCACATAAAGCAATGGTTACAGAAAACTTACCATAAAAATTCACACTCTCTGGGAACCAAAGAACCATGTAGCTGGAAGACCTCAAAACATCCTCTATCTCAATCCCTCAAAGCGAGGAAGTAATTTATTTAGAATATCCCTGCTGTCTTCCAACTAACCCGTTAACCACACAAATAAATCACCCTAAGTAGGCTGTTCTGCTTTTTTGCTATATAAACAATTATAAGAATTGATACCATGCTCTGTAACAAGCTGTATATACTGGAAAACTTACGTTCTCTTTCAAACTTCTCTTTTCCAAATAAAAAAAAAACCTTTATTTCTTCAGCCAAGACCTACATCATGTTTTCCGTATTGCTTTTGAACACTGATACAAGTGAAAGGGTGACAGCCCTACTGAAGTAGCAAAACAGAACAGCAAGCTGCTATTTTTATTTATAGCCTCAGCCATAAATATATCTATCTCTGCTGGAATTAAAAAGGCATCTGGTGCTCACATAAAAGTCTCACTTAATCACTTAATACATATTCACTATCAGAGGATTTCAAAATCCTTCTGTACTGACAGACACTGTGTTAGCTAAAGGAGGAGGAGGCTTGGTCTAGCAGAGGCTACAGTCCTCTGCTTCCTTCCCAAAGTCAAGGTCTAGTAACCCGAACTGGGTATTTTCAGCTGGTTCTAGGCACAGTACTAAGCATGCCAGCCTGACATCATAAATTCTGCCTCTGAGGAATGGCCATAGGTTATCCGGCTGCACTGAATGCTGCTGCCTTCAGTATGACACATACAACATGACCAGCGAGTCCAAGTCTGCACGCTTTGTGAACAAGGCAATTTTGTGAACAATTTTAATACCCAACCAAATGTTAGATCCCTTTTGTAATCTTATGTCAACTATCAAAAGATCTGACTATGCACACATAAGCAATCACGTACCACTGCGTACATCTGTAGCTTATTCTTAATGCCTTATATCACGTTTCAGCGGTGCCATCTGGGCATATACTTCAAGACTTACAATACAAAGAGATGGTGAGGACATAAACAGATTGACTTCCATTTCTCCTTCCATCTCCTCATCCACTAGCTTTCAATGTGTGGCCAAATGGAGATGGGGGTAGGAGGAGGCATTAGGCAAACCAACGGTGGTTCTCTCAGGGCTTAGCACTGCAGAGTGGCATGGGACCACAGGCTATGCTGTTATTGCCCTTGCACCAGAGGATGCTACTAGGGCAAGCTGCAAACTCTCCCTGCCCTGCCTTTCTCCTGAAATCTTACAGAATTAACCAAATTCGTCTTTCCTCTAACCTTGCAGCAGAAATTGAGGTAGCTGCTCTTTCCTAGGTAAATGCAACAGGCGCTGGAATTTAAACTATTAGAAGAAGGGACTCTCTTGGGTTTGCAGCAAACTGGAATTTAGTTAGTGGATCCCCACTTCTCTCCACAAATAAGGATTTTTAGCTTGAACCCAAGTTCCCTAAAATTCTCTAGCACTTCCTTTGGCCAGCAAATGCCATCCAGATCCTCCCTCAGGCAAAAACTGCTCCATACCATTTTTTCTTGAAACTCTTCAGGGGAAAGGGGTCAAGTCTTTCTGATAAGAATCAGACATCCATTAACCTGATGATTTTGCCAGTGCATGTAAGCTGCCCTAAACGTTCCAAAATACTGTAAAAAGATAAATGAAACAAAAATTCACAAAGGAAGGATTTCAGGAAGGAACTATAAATGTCACAAAGTGATCTTAGCGCCCCTTTCAAATAACTATCCACATCAGCAAACGCTTGTCAGCCTCTAACTTCCTCTAACACTCCCTGCACCAATACCTCCATGCATAATACCATAAAATCCCAAATTTCACACCAACAGATAAGGGTTACTAAAGGGCACGGTATGGTAGATGAACTAAAATCTCAGCTAAGTGTTCCTTGTAACTTACTACCCACATGAACCAAGGCCAAGTGACCCTACAAACCTGCCCTTCCTGAATTTCAGGAACTTCTCTAGGCCTTACTAGTAAAAAGGTCAAGTGCTTTTACGTTGGCAATTGAAGCAAGTGCCATTTCCAACCTCAGGTAAGCTGACTGACTCCAACATTCAAGCATTCGGCTTCCAGCCACTGCCTGAGCCTGTAATTCTGTAAGTTGGACAAAGCATCTACTACACCGGCATAGCCATTGCCCAAGAAGCACAGAAAATAAAGCACGAACATCCTTACGCTCTTAAGAATCTGTTTGTTCAATTACTATGCACATCACAGCCCGGTTGCCACGGAAGAAATACACACTTACATACTTCTCAAAGTATGACCACTACTACAATAGAGAAAAATTCTGAAAAGATTACAGTCTTACCCATGCTTCTGACCAGCGCAAAATTCTTCACTAAAACACACACTGAAATCTAATCTTCTGGACACCTCTGACTGCACATGAAGTTCCTTTTCTGTGCTGAATTCTTAATACAGCAATGACATTGCAGATCTCTATTTTGCCCAGGCCAGAAAACAGACCCCACACACATAGTTCTCTTCAATGTAGGGACAGTTGTAGTCCACATGGCTTTCTCCTTTCATGGATATTACTAAGGTTTTGCTCTCCCAAGGAGGCTGTTCTTCTTCTCTTCCTCATTCCTTCCTAGAACTGATGCTGTGGTCTCTTTTTCACCTTCATCTAGCGATGTATCTGCTACCTCCCCTAGACTTCCTCCTAGACTTGCTACAGAGCTGGCTCAACCCTTTCCCACTGGACTCAATCTCATTTTCTGCAGTTGAGTGTGTGTGTTCCAGAATGATGCAGAGACGTGTGAACTAGCTCCCTGCACATCAAACAGTACTGCTGTTGATGATGGCACCTAAGCAAAGTAAGTTAGGAAAATCAACCTACTGGGAAAAAAAATTCCCAATTTCCCTATTTTACAGAAGTTTTCTGTTTTGAAGTCCATCAGTTATTCTGCTACCCTCCTACCTTCACATTCACTTTCCTTCACATTTTCTTCCATCTTGAGACTCTCAAACAGCTTCTCACTGTTAGGTAAGAAATACAACAGCCTTTACAAAATTTTTGGATCTTTGCCATTAAATACGTTTACGCCATTAAATGCTGTACATTCCATGAAGTACAGAGAGGAATTGAGGGAAAAAAAAAAAAAAAAGACAGCATCTTTTTCAATGCTGTCAACGGCAAACATAAAAATATAGGCCAAAATACAAAAACAAATTATAGTTATGTCTTTGTTTCCCTAGAGATATGAAAGTCTGATTTTTTCTTATGTATTTAAAAAAATTATTCTAATGTTTGATATTTTCAGACATACTGGAACTAGAGGCAAGAATCGCCTATGAGGCACGCTTTGTACAGTCTTCAGGCCAACTGGGGAAAAAAAAAAAAATCAGTTCTCCTCTTTGATTTGTGTGCTCACCAGAAGTACCACCCTTAAGTCTTAATTTTGCAAAGTAAGAAAAAATTTTGCAAAGTAAGAAAATGCCTTTGTTATCAGAAAATACCTTTTTTGGCTCCTGATAAAATAGTTAAACCCTGAAGGAGATGGTAAGTTCAGTGGTTTTAAATATCACAAAGAGGAAAAATATCATTTTGCAGCAGCGTACACTACGACTAACTTTTATTCCAAGACGATTATCTCAGCTCCTGTAGTAGGCCTAGATTATCCGTCATTGGCACATTCCACAGGGCAGCCTTTCGAAGCAGCCTTGTAATTGTAGGCATATAATCACTCAGTAAAGGCTTCCACTAATGCTATTAGTAACTCTTTTCCTCACAGCGGTTAATGTGCAGTGCAGACAGAAGCATAAAATCTATTCCACCTAGACTCCAGACCCAAGATTTACAGATTTGTCTAGGAAAAGAAAGCTAGCACTTCTCTTTTCATCTGAACATACATTTCTCTCTAATATCATTAAAAATTGCCAGTACAACTTCTTAAGTTAGCTGTATATCCCATATTCAGTCAATTAATTAGAAAAAAATCCAAATTCATCCAATATGTCTTTGCAGCTTCCTGAAGAAAAGCACACGTTTGTGTGCTTCACAGTAGAATTAAAAGTTTCTTCCAAAGCCCACATGCACAAACTGAAATCTAGAAATATGGATCCTGGGGAAAGCAGCCTTCAAGGAAAGCCACCACTGCTTACTTCTCAGGGAAACAACAAAAATAACTTTCTGGCAACCCTGAACAGGGAACCTTCCTCAAAAAAGTAATCCTATAAACCTCTACTCTAGGCTGCTTTAAACAGTAATATTCCCCTACTCTTTCACTCTTGAATAGAAAAAAAAAGGCCCAAATAATAAATGAGTTGATGTGACAATTAAGCCAACGGCTACATGACTTCACCTTTCCCCTCATGATGACGCAGTCCTCTTGCCTATTGTTTGCATGAGTGGGTTCTCCACGAAGCCACTTGGTGTACGTCACAGGCGTGCCGTCGCTCCATTCAAAATACATCTGAACTTTGAGGTCATTCAACCCAATCCACAGCTCGTCGTCTGGCTCTAAAACATATGATTAACATGGTTGATAAACAGGCCTTCTATATGATATGAACCTTTATCTCCATGGAACAGAAAAGAACTTAAGCTCAGGAAGGTTAAAAGGCAGCCAAAGGAAATTAAGCCTCCCTACTTCATAAAGAATGCACGCTGTTCCTCATATGCCACTCTAGTCATCAAGAAATGCCACCCACTCTGCTGGTAAGACAATAATAAGGGGTCTAACTTCCTTCAGAAAGTATGACTAGTCTTCACAGCTCATCTGCACCGTCCTTACCTTCTCTTGTCCAGTACCAATGGCTCAGACGCACAGAACACCAGGCTCCATTTTCAAATACAAACCTTTACCTCTTCTTCCAGGCTGCCCTTCACATTCAGAAGTTTCCCACATAACACCTCAGTACCCTCCTTTAAATTCTCTTCTGCTACCAAAACTCAAACCTGTTCTGATTACATTGCCCATCACACTGATTAATGTCCCATTCCCTTCTTAGCTCCTGTCATCCATATTGCTCTCTAATTTCTCTTTCCTTTAATTATTTGGTAAGATCTTTCTGTTCTGTGTTTATCTGGCACCTAGGACAGCAGAGACTTTACCACTGCAAAAGTTCCTATATACCACAGTAATACAAACAATAAATAGCAATCCTAACACAATGATTACATCTAAGTCATGTAAATAAGCTATCCAAATCAGAAATGGTCAAGAATTAGTGGAGTCACTTCCTACATCGCATTTTCTCCTCTCAAGAAGGAATGCTGTCACAAAGTTCTGCAACCTTTTCTAAAGCTGGGTGGCTAAATAGCAGGATTTTTTTTTCATAGCCACCTTCTAAATAAGCTGTTTCCCACTCTCCTAGACATGCACTAGGCCATGTTTGTGCCATACCACAGGCTGCACTTCTGTGTAAAAACAAAACTTTCCACAATGCACTTTATTCTTCTTCATGTTCCTCTCCAAAGTTCTCCTTTGTGGGTGATGCCAACAAAAACTGACCAAGTTTGGCTACTATGTCAATACTCATCTCATTGTACCTCCTCTTTGTTTGTTTTATCGTGAGACTGTGAATTGTTTGGCTCAAAGATTGACTTTTGTTCTGTTTATACAGCACTGAGTGCAGCAGCAGATTTCTGAGGCAGACAAGATTTTCTAGGCATTGCACATGGTGTTCTCATCTCCATGGTAATTTGATACCTTCTTACGACTGCCTTAAAAGGCATCTTCAGTCGTTTCAATGCTCTTCCTCTGAAAAGAAAACTTTCAAAATAGTCTATTCCAGTGAGTGTGCCATATGCGAGAAGCCTGGCTTCCTTCAGGACTGTTTGCCTTTCAGAAACATTCACATTTACAAAAAGAGCGCAGCTCAGTCAGTCAAGAAAGCATTAAAGTATGAAGTAATGTACTTCCAAGGAGTAAGGTGGATGCATCTATTTTCCTTCAGAGCCAAATGCAAGTCCAACTTATTTCAAATACCCTAATGTCCCATATGTAGAGGTCCCACCTTTCCTGATAATCTCTCTTGAAAGAAGAAAAAAATTGCAGGCCTGTTCATGAAATTACAACAAATCACTTCTTCAGGGATGTAGGGACAATTACAAGTTACCATGGAGTTGGCTAGGATGCAAAACTAAAGCATATCAACTGTTTTATGTTTGCCACTCTAAGAACGTTGTTATCCTGCAGGCCAAGGCAGCTTACTGCACTATCAGTGAAGAATAAACCACCTCTCACTTACCTGGGACTAAGAGCACCCACAAGATTAGTTATTGCAGAGAAGCAAACATAGGTGTGAACATGCTCCTCCTGCCAAAAAGCAGTCATTGACGCTATATTTAAAATTAGGTCCACACAAAGCAGTATCAGCCACAAAACTGCCCTACAATCAGCATGACTGGATCTCCCTCGATGAACACCCTGCATCTGTACCCTAACTTGCTTTGCAATAACTAAAACGTGCACTCAGAAGCTGAGATCTATGGCCTAAGAAACACATTTAGGTGGAGTACATCTGAATCCACACACTAGGACAGACATCTTTCTTTTGCAGAAGAAACACAGGTGGCAGAACCTGACTTTAAAAATTAGGACACAGCAGTGCTGATAATAGAATTCAGATCTTCCCACACTGTCTTTGACAAACAAGCACTGTTTCCTCTCACTTATCTTTGTAGACTGGCAGTATAATTCCTCCCATCCTCTGAAAAGGTTAACAATTATTTTTACCTCAGTAAGAGGAAGTAGAAGCAGATCCTGAGAAATAGTAGTTTAGGTTTGATGCAATCCACAACATTGATCACAGCTATTCCGTGACAGTATAGTTTGTTTCTTTTAGTGCTCTTACCATTCTTTTTTCTTCCAAAGATTTTTGGAAATTTAAAATTTAATTCCCTCTGCACCCTAGGATCAGGGCAACCTTTCTGAAACAGACTCCTCCTTTTCTTAGCAAATAAGACATATTCAAGACTCTTAAATTGCTTAGTATAAATATTGATCTGTCATTATGAAAAATACTCACGGTACCCAAGCTGAGAAATAACAAAGCTGTATTCCTCAACATTATGGATGCTTGCCAGATCCCCATCCTCCTTTCTGCAAGAAGTTAGGGCATCCTTCCATATTTTGGGATCCCTGTGAATTATGTAACAGTGACCAGCATACGACATCCATTGATCAGGACATCTAACAGGCACGTTAGTCTCTGAAAAGAAATGTCCATGAACAGTTCTAGAATTCTACTCTTATCTAAAGACTGAAAATTACATAAGCAAAGATATAACAAATTAATTAATTACATAAGTTATTCATGAAGAATAGCAGAGCTGAAAAATATGTGCAAGGAATATAAAATGTAAGCATGATTAAAAATTAAAACTTCCAATTTTTTTAAAAGTATACTACATTTACAAAAGAAGTGTTTGCAACATGGGAAAAGACAGAATTAAAATTGACCATTAAAATATACTTTTGACCTGTTAAAGCTTACACGCTGTGATCCTCTTTAAAATGTAAGGTCTACAAAGCTGTGCTCTGTCAGCTTTCTGCACTCATGTTAGCATTTCTCTTCATTCTCCAGGCTGCGTGGATACATGATAAGAACCTAGGCTTACAAAACATATATATGAGGGCAATCTTTCCCAACAAATCTTAAGCATTTTATGGATTTGTCCTATTTGCTACAATAGCAAAGACAAGAGAATTGATTCTACAGCATCACAAGAGAACCCAAATAAAAATCCTACTTTTAGGAATCCTTTTAGAAGGCTCCACTGAGAAAATTACGCTGCCAAAGTAAACGATTTACACGTAAAAATTGCTTTTAAAAGTTCGGCAAATAAGACAGCACTGGAGTACTGCTAACAACCACGCTGTTGTTCAGTAAACAATTCAGCCCTGGGAGGAGTGCCATCCAAAAGTCTAATAAACACAATACCACTGTCATAGAAACAAATTATGATTCTTGCAGCACTCGATTTATAATCAGCAGAAGGGCTTAGCAAACACCACCATATAGAGCAGAACACGGACAGCAGGTTTGCAGAAATTCTGTTAGCAAAAAAAATCTTAATACGTTTGTTGGGACAGTAGAAGCAATGTGTTTGTGTATGACACTGGGTATATTCTATGGAAATACTTAAGTAGGCATCCAAAGTCATGGTCAGTCAGGCCCACATTGCAAACCTATATCCTGTTTCAGCTGGAATATGCCAACAATTAGTAGGTACTTAGTGTCACAACACAGATTTCTAGCACAGCTATAAACATAGCCTGCCATTTGCAGACCTGCCTCAAGAAAGTATTAACATGTTCTCAGAAAGTGTTAAGTAATGAACTTTGTCTCCCCAGGGATGAGGTGAGCCATCAGTCCTGTCATAGAAGGGAAAGAACTGGAATTGAGAGGGAGAATCCTGGAAAGTCAAACTGGTTGTACCTAGCGTTGCTTGGATTAGTGAGGGAGGAAAGGGAGAAAGCAAGGTGGCAAATACTGTTGTAGAGTTAGTCTGATGCTTTAGGCAGCTGCCTAATTCATTCCATGCCTGTATTGGTCTCTGGCCATATGCCATTTTAAGGTTTTTGCTACAGGAGTCAGAGAACAGCTTTGAAAAAAATGTAGGCCTACATGCATCTCCAACACACTTTGTGCATCCTTCTGCAAACTGTTATGACTGAATAGAATGAATATCAGCAGTTCAGCCATGGCCACAAAGACTGTCACAAAGCTCTTTATTCCCCAGTGAATTCTGTAAAAGTCTCTTTTTCAGACTGCGGGACTATCTGTAAACGCTAAAGCGGCTATGGCAGGCCAGAAGGCTCTTCTGCTTGTAAATCCAGTGATGCCATGGAATTTGTTGTAGGCAGCGAAATAAGAGAAGCAGTTTACAGTCTAGCTTTTTTGGTGCACGTCTTACTGAATGACATAGTGAGGTACTACCCAGTAAGAAAAAGCCTTCAATTCTTCATTTCTAGTACTCAGACAAAATGAACTCTGTGCTTCCCCCTTCTACTTTTAAAGGAAATGCACATGACGACACAAAGTCACATAACCATTTTTTCATTCTAATGAAAAACGAGTGCTAGACCTTGAGGTTCATGTGACTCACGCAAAGAAGCAATGCAAATTTAAACAAATACAATATAATCAAAGAAATTAAATTAGTGTGTAAAAAAAATGCTATCCCAGATGTCCAGCTGATGGATTTACTGTGGAACAGATCAACATGCAGAAATGAAGCTTGTAAGCACGGAATGGTTTTTCGGTAACAACTTTTCCTCAAAAAGACAGCAAGTAATTTTGTAAGCTATTTGTTTCCTGAAGCCTGAAGGTCTCACAGTAATTGACTTGGGTGCTTAGGCGGTGAAAGCACTAACTAAAGCTTGCCTCATGATTCAGGCATTCAGAACTTCTCTCTCCTATATCCAGTCTCTGTGGTCTGATGAGAGGGAGCTCACATAGCAGTCACAACAGTGTCACTAATAGAATTTATCTCCGCTAACCAGAAGTTGGGTTTTACGAAACATTTGGAAACATAACGCTCTAGGATCACTAGACCTTGTCAGATTGGGATGAAATCTGTTTCAGCAGTCATTTGATAGAGGTGGACAGACAGACAGACAGCATGATCACACATGTCCATTTCCTTAGAAAATGAAGTTAAAAAATAAGCAAGTTTTGCCAGTGAAATTAACAGGCTGCTTTTGATCCATTTAGCTGTATCACAGGACTAATGCTCTGAAGCCCTAAGTCTTACATCACTTACATGTATATAATTATGTGGCCCCCTGCTGGAAAAAAACTTTTGCTGCAAAAAGCTACATGGCTGCTGTATTCCTAAAAATCTTCATTTGCAACAAAAGTAAATGTTCTGCCAAGATCCTTCTCTGCTTTGTTTTGGATACAAGCATGACTATATTCTGCTGTAAAGTGTTCTTCTGTCTCACTGCCCTCACATACTGTCTTAGTGGGCTCAGTTGCACCTTCTGGGGTTAAATTTGAAAAGATTGCCAATGTGCTTAGCATTAGGTGCACAAGTAAGTGCATGCACGTATTTGAGATTAATTTATTTCTTGACTCAGGAGCCCTAGTCAGGAAGACATTGTCTGCCATGAGTCTTCCTTTACATCAGTAGAAGTTGAGGGCATTTAACACCTTGCGTGGTTACATGATTATTTCTTTTATTACTTCCTCCCAGTGGACGTTTTGGAAAATAATTTGAGATATGAATCACTGCCAATCTCTGCTTAATCTGTCACCATGTTTACTCAGCAGTTTCTGTACAACTGAAAACTTTTGTCTTGTTTCTCTTCTTCCTCCCCCATTATTGTTGCACTAAGGGGGCAGGGGTCAAAAGCCTAATGCATTCCACCCCTCCAACTGAATTAAAATCTAAACAAGATAGCAGCCACTTTTGAACAGATAGCCTATTTACAGTCATCAGTTTTTAAGGATTGATTTAAGAAACTGAAAAGCTGAGCAGTAGCCAGTTGAAAAGTCTAAGACAAGCTATATAAAGCAAGCTATCTGATTATCAGCTGTATACAAATATCAACAAAAATTTACGCCTTAATTCAGGAAAGTATTAAAATATACAGTAAAGTCTTTCTCAAACCAGGCAATAAATACGCTTGACTGCAATTTTGATGTCCCAAACCATCCATGAGACACTAGCACATTCTTGTGTAGTTTTCCCTTATTCATAAAGCAAAACAAATTAGGCAGAAGCCTCTATCCTAAACAGTTCGGACCAGACTGGTTACACATTGGCAGAATCAGGAAAGGCATTAAAAGACATGGTTTACAAACCAAACCTTTTGAAAACTACGTGTCTGACATCTGGTTTGCCCATAACGCATATGAACAGACAGACTAGAAATCCAACAGTGGCTTGACAATGGAAGCTTTCCGCTTCTAAAACTCATGCAAAATAATGTCAACGGATTTAGGATATATCTGTATGTTCTGGAAAGAGATAAAAACTTCAGATGCAGGGGATAACAGAAGGAAAGGGTGATGAAATGAAGGAAGAAGTAACAAGGTAAATTATGGTACACAGAGGGCTTTTAAGGCAACAGGTATAAATAAAGCTATGACAATTTTTTCCCTGTTTTGTCTTTCCTGTGCGCACTAAGCACATGCCAAAATGATATTTCTTCTGAAAAAGTGTGTGTGTGTGTGTGTGTGTGTGTGTGTGTGTGCGCGTGTATATTTTTTATTACTACTATTATTTAACTCTCTCAAAAGCGTTAAAAAAAACCCTGTAGTCCACTACCAACCTGCATGAGCAAACTCATTCTATTTCATAAGTAGTAGACATGATCGCAAGATGAAATAGATTCTTTTAAATGAGAGCTTAAGGCTTTCGATAATTACACTCTTTTTTAAACAGTACATTATTTCTCCTTTTGCTTCATTAAGAAAATCTGACACGTCTGCTTGTTTTTTGGAAAAGAAAACTCAGCCATTTCTGCAATTTAGAGCTCAAAGCTACTGGAGAAACATTACTATATAGGAAGTATGGAGGCCAGAATAAAAAAGGAAGTACACGCTGTTCTCTTTCACAGGGAATCTCAGTCAATCCAAAGTCTGTAGAGACATGACCTTTTCTCAATTTTACCATCTAGAAAAACAAATACCTATTAGAATCACAGATGTAAAACACTGATCTTTAATAATTTGTTGCGGTTTTATGACCAAACCTACCTGCAGAAATAATGAAAGATTCTAAAGTAGCATTTCCTCGTTTACAAATATAGCCAAGTTTCTGATCACATTCCCGATTCTCCCATTTGGCACCTTTGCCAGGATTTAACGCTGCACAGATTTTTCCAGGCTCTGGAGAGGGGTTTCCTTAAAAAACAAAAAGTCCAACAAGAACAACTAATTATAAGTACATGAGAGTTACCCTCCCAGTTACTCTCAGTCTAATTTGTTCCAGGCTTTAATTATTAGATACATTAGTATCTATACAACTGTGATCCTCAACAGTAAGCAGTCCCTTAGCTTGAATGGAGAAGTTCATTTCCTTAGGACGTGTAAGTAAGTTTCTACAGTAAACCAGACAAATTTTTCAAGATCTCGTCTAATGTGAGTAAACCTGACACGGATTTTGTTTCATTTCTGAATACGTGCAACTATGCTATACATAAGTAAGTTTCAGTACTGCTCAGCTATAAACACAGCAAAAGAATAATTTTTAATGTGCAAGACTGTTGAAATGAAAATATTCTTATATCATTATGATTTGATTACCTTAGACTACATTTAGTCTTCTACTGGCAGTCATAGGTTATATCTTCCATGGGAGAAAAAAATATATATGCTTTTTTTTCCAAAATACAAAAATTAAATTGTTTTAACGCACACAGAAGTTCAGCTGTTAGCAGTTAGCTCTCCCAAATGTCTAACCAGCATAGTTTTGGTCTAATTGTTGATAATTTAGCTCTGTGGTCACATATTCTTTTTCCTGATTATTTATGGCTAGAGAGATCGAAGAACGTGAAACTCCCATCAGTTCTTCAAAAATGCACTAGTGGAAGTACAGCCAACGCTTTTAACATCCAGGGTAATGCGGATGTGATAGAGATTTGCCTGAGTAGAGCAAAATCATGCAAGAGATAGCACCCTCATAAAATAGGCCATACGGATTTAAGAGTATTACCTTTGAAAATGAGATTAAGAAACAGAGTGAAATCAAATATAAGGAGTTCAAGATAAAGGGAGGTCAGCTTAGTTACTTCAAAACCCATACAATTCTCCTTAGCATAACTGAGAACTGCCTGCAGTTTTAACAACCATAAATAGCTTCCCCTCATTGCTTTGGCTCCCGTCTCACTTAATCAAAGCTTTACACCTTTTTTCATTATATGCAGATCCTCATCAATGCACTTGTAAGACAGAGCTATAAATACCATCAGAGCAACTTTCAGTTCAGCCCATCTGTTTGCCTTTTGTGTGCTCTCTCCACTGCAGAGCTATTTATACAATGGTTAAATTCACTCTTCAAGCTTGCCTGCACAAGAAGTTTGTCCACCAGAAATGTGGCTTTGGGTTTATCTACAAAAGGAAGTTACTGTGTAAAATGATGCAGTGTGCATTTACACACAGTGGCTACTGCCTATTAAACATAGGTGACACTCTTAGTGAAGATGAAGAACAACATTCATACCACCTAACTTCAGGCAACTACTCTTAAGTTACTAGCCTAGTCTCCAAAGGTTTCCTGAATAGCCAGTCCAAGGAAACAGGTTCCTCCTGGGGTCCTGCTACAAATCACCTGAACAGAGGCACTCTGAATAGCCAACCAGAAAAGTACCTCTCTGCTGTCTGCACAGGTGGCATCTTTTCAATACAGGCACCAGAGTTCAACATTGCAACTACAGGTGTGAAGGTGTAGATTTTTTTGCTTCAAAGTACACTAGCCTAACGCATTCATACATGTTACTGCCATGGGTAGATTAATCCTAAAATGAAAATGAAAATCCAATTTTAAAGCAAATAAAACAAACTGCAAAGGAAAGGAACTAAAAAAATAAAAAATATATTGAACAGTATTCTGCTGCAGCTTAAGAGAGTTATAGCATTCGATTCATTCCATATTTACGCAGAAGTAAAGGAAATTAACAAGATATCCAGAGGAAACGTTAAGTAGATGACTTTTAAAACTTTCCTTGGATTTGGAGCTATAATTCCCATTGTGAATGATAAATTAAGCCCAGTATGTATCCCCAGTAAAAGGGCCATCATTCAGTGTTTATATCCACAGTCAGAATCTTTCAGCATCAAAACAAGTTCAACAAATGTAGGAGAAGAGAGTACTACAAAAGAAACCCATTGCACCAAGACCCAGATTTTTGTCCTTTAAATACAAACAATCCTTACCTGGAACCCAATTTAAGTATCGAAAAGGAGCACCACCAACCCACTGCCATCCACTGTTGAAATTCAAACTGTTAAGACCAAACCAGAGAGCAGAACTCAATCTGCCAGTCAAACCTAGATAACAAAGACAAAGAGAAATACTGGAAGTACACAGCGAGAGCAAATACTTTCTTAAAACTTGAGAGCTGAAGTCCAGCTACCATTTGCTTCTCCTTTGACCCAGCACAAGTTTTAACAACTTTTAACTACAGAGTTGCGGTGGGAAGGCTAAACCTATATATGTGGTCTTACATGGTTCACTTTAGAGTTTTCAGAATTCCAGGCGTGGGGATTTTGTTAGAACAGAAAACAAAGGGACATTTATATATGTTCTTCATAAACCGATTGTCATAAATATAAAACAAATCTCTTACCTTTCAGAATTATAAAATATAAAATTGATAAAGTTGCACAAAAGGTCATAAAAACAAAATTCAGTTTTCTAAAAGCAAATGTGAATAATTTCCTATTGTGTATTTTATTTTCCAATAAAATGAGCAAATGGCAAGTTCAAAATTTACAAAATACTGTAATCTAAAAAAATTGTTTGTATTTTATTAAACTATATTAACATAAGAACATTCCAAAGATCCTCATTTTTACAGTGCATCTTGTACATTTTTCAGACTCATCTGATTTCACTTCTTTAACCAATAGTCTATCAAAAATGAGAAGTCAACATCCCAAAGCTAGTTCCAATTTATTGTTCCAGTTCTGAAAAGCACTTAGAAATAATGTCATGCTCATGTATGGTCCTACTGAAATCTCCAGCAGTCCTTATAGTCGTTATTAATCAACTGTCTATCTCTGCCTTACCTTTAAGGCTTGGAAGGCTAGCTGGATGACTGGTGATTTGTTGTTTTTTTTTAATTAATATATTTCTGCATTGCTCTCAGGAAACCATTGCATAACATATATTATAAATTTTTGATTTTACTGATGATGTCTTGTCATGCTAATACGCAATTTTGTTCTATATCTTTTAGCTGTCTTTGACTTTGTGACCGTGGGCAGCAGTTGAAGCATGGCACGGTTAAAAGCGAGGTAGTTTACCACTGGAAAGGACAGGAGTGCCACACCAGAGCCTAACTTGACACCAAGACATTGATGTGTTCCAGTATTTCTTCCACAGTAGCATAAGTTGTGGTTAAGAGAATCTAGAAGCAAGTATGACAGGAAATCTTGATTCTGCCAGGATTTCTGTAGAATGAAATGCCAATTTTCACACATATTTGGCAGCAATATATACCAGTATGCAATTAAAACACATCTACTAAAGACTTCATTGCTAGATTTCAGTGTCAGACTGCTCCATTGGGCACTCTGTTCAACAATAAGTTCATCACACTCAGTAAAAGAACAGCCCATGTTTTGACCAAATTCTTAAACTGAAAACAAAAGTTTAGACAGAAAAGACTGTACATAGCATTAAAAATACATTTATCAAATGACCAGACATCCTCTAAACTTATAAACTAAAATAAATATCTTATAGCATAGAAAAGATTATTTTCCTACCAATGTAACATAGTCAAAATATTTTCTAATCTACCTAACAGAGGAATTAGTGGACTACTTAATATGTGTATACAGGCAAAGAGAGTTGTAAAAAGGGCACTGTTGCATTATAGAATGTAAATGCATCCAAGCAAGAATTCAGGAGTGAATTTTCTCAGAGGAGAAATTTGAAAATGACTTCAAAAAGAAAAAAAAATGGACAGTAGATTGAGAATAAGGCAAGCTATTTTTAAGTCCTTCTGGTTTATTAGTTCTTTTTTTTTCTTTTTGTGTTTTAGCACATATTGATGACATAGGCAGCTTTAAAAAAACAGGTAAAAAAATGCTGACTAGCATACACAAGTATAAAGAACATAAAAAGAATGCTATCTTGATACCTCAATCTTTGATTTGAAAACTACTTTGCCTTTTCCGGCACTCCAGCCTTCTTTCTTTATTGCTTACTTAATTGCTGTATTTTTTATGCTATTGTAAGCTTCTAAGAATATTAATTCAGGATAAAATAATCATTATCTTTCTTAAGTGCTTCCAGCTGAGCTATCCAAGGTAGCAATTTAAATTTGCTAATTAACAGAACTGAAAAAAGTACTTAATTTCATGACGGAGTGTGGTATATGACTGTCGTTGTTACAGTAATGCACTTTTTAAAAAAGCTGATGGATGACATTACTCTACCTGTCAGGTATGTTTGCTCATGCAACTCAGTGATGCTTAATAACTCTGCCTTCTGCTGTTGACAGCTTTTTCTTGCCTGATGCCATTTCAGAGCTGCCTCGGAGTTTATTTGGTACTGGACATTTGTTAAAGGGTCAGTATTCCACAACAAATCAAGACTATTAACTGTAGGGAGAAAAAAAGAAGCATTGCAACCAATTACTAAGACTGAGCCAGATAACATGTAGAATAAATCACACAGCAAAAATATATAAATCTAAACATTTCAGTAGAGAACCAATTTGGAAGGAGTCCTGAAGCTCTCTAACGTGTTAGTAAATCCTTGTCAGATCTAAACCACAACAGCAGCGTTGGGCAATATATAGGTAATGAAAGACTCGCCGTTTTCTCTGATAAAACAAAGCTGGTATTCAAGAGAGAAGATGAGTGGCTCAAGTCAAGCTAAAAGAGTTGAATTGTCACTATGGAAGAAAAAATAAGCTTAAAAACTCACAGTACCTAAGGTGTACCTCAGGCCGACTACTGTTCTGAACTAAGAACAGTACTATGTAGTACCCAAGCGGCTACTGATTTTCTTACTGCAATAGAGGTATTTTAACAGCTGCTTTGCACTTCAGTCTGCCAAATCCCATGCACTGAATGCGAACCTTACATTTTCAACTTTTTGCACTCTCCTGCAGCTCCAGCGCTGTCCTAAGCACGTATCTGATACACCACCAGACCACCTTCTCTGCCACATGACTCAAGTGTGATGTCCCGAATACCTGAACTTGGCACAGGAGGACATGGCCGAATACCAAGCCAGTGAAACTGCCTTCCAGCAGGGCCCAACATTAGAAGTGGCCCCAGTAGGTATCACATCGCTTAGTCTACTGCTACAGCCTCTCCCGGCTCACATCAGTTTTATGCCCCCAGCAAGCAACCTACAACAGTGTGATCTTGCTCTGCCAAAAACGGATCCTACAAGAGGCCTCAACACTGAGCTAAATGCTCTCCGTAAAGAGATTAAAGTTGCACGACAAAAGCAGAATATACCGGAGGTCACTGTATGTTGGCTGACCATGGGAAAAGAACCGAAATTCCTGCAGCCTGTATCAGAGCTTCTCAAGTTGCAAGCTGTGAAAAATCTGAAAGAAAGAGGTCTTTTCCTTTTCCGATTTCAGAGAGCTCAGAAAACTTTAGTGTGCAAATAAGAGGAAAACAGTACAATAAACAAAACTCAAAACAAAAGATGGTACATGTTAAATGTCAGCAGGTCAGTAACCAGTTCCACTTTTTCCTGTATTAAATCTGATAGCCTACAGATAATATGAAGTGCTTCATTTCAAATTAGCCTTACACAACAAAAATAAAACGTAGCCTACTGTAATATTGACATTTGACCAAAAATGGAAACTTTTGTATCGCTATCTGTAAAACAACTTCTGTCCAAAATATTTATGACTACCGGAAGGTAAAATTTCTTTGGTACATTGTGTTCAACAAGACCATAAATTCCTGCAAACAACTGAGGTAAGCCTGAGGTAATAAGCCTGAGGTAAAATGGAGATTGTAAAAGTATTAAAATCTAGAATTTGGTAAAGCAAATTGGTGCTGACCTGATAAAAAGTGTTTTAAAATTTCTTTTTGCTCTGCATTGGTGGCAACTACTTCTATACAAGCATTACTAGGGAACAAGAAAATATGTCTTTGACATTCACCCAACCTTTCACTCCCCTCCCCCAAGTCTGTTAATTTATGGCTGGCTTTCAAAAGGGCTGATCTGTAGAGCTGTGGTCTTCATAAAAATCAAAGTTCAATTCTTAACCTTCAAAAATTTATTTTTAAGATGTTTGAGTCCTATGAGGTCAAATACCTTCACAGAGCAGAATTTCTGAAAGGCTATTTTTTAAAGCTTTG